CATAGACCTTCTCTCTCAGTAATTCCACTTCACTTGGGCTTGACAATCCCTTTGCATCTGCACACACATAAAATGAAAAGCTGCCATGATGACTCAACAGTGGAAATTAGGGCTGTGCAATTAATCACATGCGATTGTCATGCACATCTCGTCAGTAAAGCCGGTCCCGTGATTAGTAGTAAATCGCCATTACCTGCTTTCAGATGGAGCGGCATTTAATACACAGAGCCATAGTTCACTGACAATTAGGCAATATCGCGTTCATAATCGCAGATGAATCGCATTCGATTGTGAACGTGATATCGCCTAGCTTGTCAGTGAACTACGGCTCAGTGTATCTGAAAGCAGGTGATGGCGATTTACTACTAATCACAGGACCGGCTTTACTGATGAGATGTGCATTACAATCGCATGCAATTAATTGCACAGCCCTAGTGGAAATCATCAAGAACTTTCAGGGTAACAATATATTTGTTTCTGGGATGTGTAGTTATTTAAAATAGTGATATATTGCAATAAAATTGTACAAAAGTAAAAATGTTAAATGCATAATGAGCAGCTCTAAATGTGTGCTCTGCCATTAATTGAAAGATAAAATATAACAATGATCAAATTAACAGTGAAAGCAACAGATATTTGGTACATTTTAACAGGCATAATTAACCATGAACAGGACTAAAAGAGGACAGATAATGTATAACTAAAAGTATTCCACAGTCAAAAACGAACGGGCAGGTCTGCCACGACTTGATTCGTACCAGCCAAAGGGCTCGGCAGACTCTCGCCCCGGTCACACATGCACTGTAAATTCAGCTGACGGGCCGTCTAACTGCAGTGACAAACATAAAAAAAAAGTACAGTTCGTGCATTCAGAGTAACATACAAACCAAAACGACACTCAGAGATCTCTAGAATCAATACGAGAGTTCTAAAACTGGAAGCAGAAGCTTATGATTTTGAACCTCCATGGAATTTGAACAATAAGATCTCTCTGGACAGCTCATACTTTGTAAAACGTTAAATTTTTTTCAGACAGCTTCGAGTCTTTTTTCAGTGCTGTACTGGTTTGAAGGTGCGGTAGGGAGAACGTGTAGGAGAGAATTGTGGGGGAAGGTGTTAATGGGACGTGAGACACAGTAAAGCCCCAGAGTCCGGGGGGACTGCGATACCCTGGTGCAAACCGGATTGAATTGGATCGAGACTGGTCCAGGTTAGGTGAGCTGATGCGGTGCTTCAAGCATTTCCATTAAGAAGGTGTCGATTGGGGTGTCTCCAATCAGCTTGAAGAAGAACAGGTGCTCCAGGCATTTTAAGCCAATGGAGCGCAGCGCTGGCAGTCGGAGGAGGAGTTTGGCAAACCTGAAAGTCAAGTGAAATGTAGAGAAACTGCAGTCAACTGTGACCCACTTGGCATTGCTTTTTTTCCCCTCTAGAGAGATTTTAGATGGGATTTTTACTTCAATAACTGAGGGACAGGAGAGAGAGAAAAAAGAAAAAAAACTACCTGCCCTGCTGGTCAGGATATCGGTGTTTACAATAAGCCTCCAGCGATGCATAGACCTTCTCTCTCAGTAATTCCACTTCACTTGGGCTTGACAATCCCTTTGCATCTGCACACACATAAAATGAAAAGCTGCCATGATGACTCAACAGTGGAAATTAGGGCTGTGCAATTAATCACATGCGATTGTCATGCACATCTCGTCAGTAAAGCCGGTCCCGTGATTAGTAGTAAATCGCCATTACCTGCTTTCAGATGGAGCGGCATTTAATACACAGAGCCATAGTTCACTGACAATTAGGCAATATCGCGTTCATAATCGCAGATGAATCGCATTCGATTGTGAACGTGATATCGCCTAGCTTGTCAGTGAACTACGGCTCAGTGTATCTGAAAGCAGGTGATGGCGATTTACTACTAATCACAGGACCGGCTTTACTGATGAGATGTACATTACAATCGCATGCAATTAATTGCACAGCCCTAGTGGAAATCATCAAGAACTTTCAGGGTAACAATATATTTGTTTCTGGGATGTGTAGTTATTTAAAATAGTGATATATTGCAATAAAATTGTACAAAAGTAAAAATGTTAAATGCATAATGAGCAGCTCTAAATGTGTGCTCTGCCATTAATTGAAAGATAAAATATAACAATGATCAAATTAACAGTGAAAGCAACAGATATTTGGTACATTTTAACAGGCATAATTAACCATGAACAGGACTAAAAGAGGACAGATAATGTATAACTAAACCTTTATGCTGAACACTGCATGAAAAACCAACAACAGGAAAACAGGTCTCACTGCATCCACTACTTGGACTTGGAGAAAGTGTTAACAGCAGTATGAACTGACCATAATATCTATGGACTTTTAAAGGTAATCCGCTATCTTAGCTGGTTCTTTTTATTTAATTTGAATATCCATTTTTATTTAATTTGAATATCCATATGTTAGTGATGAGAACAATGACAACTTTTAGATATCAATTTGTGTATGCAACAGACATCAGTTATGCTCCTCTTTGATAGCTCCTTTGAAGCCATCCTTAGTAAAAAAAAGCTCAATATATTTAATGAAACGTATACATAAGACCTGAACTGGAAACGATGCAACCTGTTCTTAGATAGGTCTCACTGCATCCACTACTTGGACTTGGAGAAAGTGTTAACAGCAGTATGAACTGACCATAATATCTATGGACTTTTAAGGTAATCCGCTATCTTAGCTGGTTCTTTTTATTTAATTTGAATATCCATTTTTATTTCATTTGAATATCCATATGTTAGTGATGAGAACAATGACAACTTTTAGATATCAATTTGTGTATGCAACAGACATCAGTTATGCTCCTCTTTGATAGCTCCTTTGAAGCCATCCTTAGTAAAAAAAGCTCAATATATTTAATGAAACGTATACATAAGACCTGAAAAGTTAAACGGTTGAGTTTTACCGTTTTCTAATCCATTCAGTTGGTCTGTGCGGTAGCACTTTTAGCTGTAGCTAGATTTTCTAGGCCGATATGGCTAGGAACTATACTCTCATTCCGGTTCATTTTAATTTCAGATTTTTGCAAGTGCAGCCAGTGAAAATCTGAACAAAAGCAAAAATTTGAACAAAATCATTATTGAGCCCTGGAGAAAAAAAAAACTTTTTGTTGTTGTGGAATATAACTGCTTATTATTTTAGTTATGGTATCATTATGTACTATTATACTCAGCACGTCTTAACTGCATATTAATGCACATAAAATTATGGTGAGCACACCACATTTTTGCACAGAGGGTTAAATAGCATCTAAAGCATGAGCCAATCAAGCAAAGCGGCAAGCATGTGCACACATCACACAGCACCAACAGGACACAATGAAGTGCTGCAAAAATCAGGCGAGATGGACAGTAAAGCACAAGGACAGGGAGGCTCATTTCTGAAGCAGAGACATTATGACACGAATGGCAACAAAAGACAATTTCATATGAACCTCACACAAACTGTAGCACAGAACATCTAGGATGAGCTCTTTTAAAACAACAGCCTGTAGCTCATTATTCCTGGATGTGCATAAGACATAGACAAAATATGGAGTCTTGAGAAGTTATAGGGAGAAATGTGCTAAATTTGTTATTTGAAATAAACAACTGCTGTAATAACCAGCAGATTAAAAGTGAACCACAGAGCACACTTCATACATGTGCGCTGTATTATTTATATAAATGGGAGTGTGTTGAGACTATAAGCAGAGGAGAGCGTTGGTGCACATATAGGTGTCTGCATGTATGTGTATGCCCTGTCTGTTCGTGCAGTGTCAGTCTACAAAAGCACACTATATACAGCAGCGTCAAGGCGGCAGGCTGTCAGAAGGCAAAAGGTATTTTTCTTTGTCATGACACAGGAAAATCCAACCACCCTTGCAGCCTTAAATGTGTCATAAGAAGCAAAGCTGTTAAGTTTCATGAGCACAGGTTTACTACAAAACATAATACAACAAACAATTTCTTGCCTAAACTTTTTCACACATAAGCATAGCAGGTCACATGCATATCTTTACGTAATCTAAGAAAAGTACTGAATAGAGTAATATTAAGAAATGTAGCAAAGCTCATTCTTCTGATAAGTCTCAGTAACTTTAAGTCCGATTCCTACAAAATTAAAATTTGAATGTAAACTATCATCAATGTGAATATACACTGCTGTTCAAAAGGTCGGGGTCAGTAAGATTTGTTTGGAAAGAAATTAATACTTACTGAGCAAGGGTGCATTAAACTGATCAAAAGTGACAGTAAAGACATTTATCATGTTATAAAATATTTCAATTTAAAATAAATTTTTGAACTTTCCATTTATCAAAGAATTTTGAAAAAAAAAACAGATTATGTTTTCAATATGAAGCAACAATGATTTTCAACATTAATAATAAGAAATGTTTCAGGAGCATCAAATCTGCATATTATGATTTCTAAACGATCATGTGACATTAAATGGCCACTGAAAATTCAGCTTTGCCATAACAGGAATAAATAAAATTTTAAAATATAATAAAATAGAAAACTTCTATATTTTAATATTTCACAATATCACGGATTTTTACTATATTTTGATTAAAAAAACTAAAACCTAAAGCCATAAACAATGTTTAATACTTGACAAAAAAAAAACAAATACAGAAATACAATAAAAAAACAAACAATAAAAACTTATTTTCAGCTAACTTTCAAGGCAACATCTAATTTTTTGTTTAAATTGATGTATTCTCTACAGACAAAACTAAAACTTAATACTAAAATTAAATAAAAATATTCAACAGTTTTTATTAATATAACCACAGCTCAATGATAATCAAATAACACTGGATCAAATAAATGCTGCCTTGGTGAGCACAAGAGACTTCTTAAAAAAAAAAAAAAAAAGTATTACTGACCCCAAAACTTTGAACTTCTTTTTGAAACCTATAGCAAGTGAATCAAATAAAACTCAATACAAGGCTAACGTGTCTGTAGTCATGTGACATGATGATTACCTGTCAAAGATGGCTCCCACCCCAGCGCTGTGAGCACTGTTCCTGTGCACATGGAGGCCGGTGGCCAGCAGAATGCCATCCTTCACCGTGATGGAGCGATGAGAGAATGACGCGATCAGTAGCTCATTCCAGCCTGATGGACAGATGAAAGCAGCAAAAGATGAGGAGGGCTCAATACTGAGAAAAGTATCAGTGTTTGCTAAGTGAGGCATCACTAAATTCCAGTTTGCAGCTTTATCAATTATTTAAAAAACATGCAATCAAGTTATTCAAAGTGCGAAAGACAGAGGCAAACAGGTTTACCAGCACGCAGCAGGATGACCTGGTCATCCAGAGACAGCTCACTGAAGTGCGGGATCCGTTTTGCCCACTCCACCAAAGTGAACAGCTGTTTATCAGCCGCCTGGCAGATATTTGTGACTGGGTCATTTGGCTGAGGAGAGGGGGGAAAAAACAAAAAACAGTATTATGGGTAAGTTGTAAGAAGAGGAAATCAAATCAAAACAAAACTTGTACAATAATATCTTTTTGAATTTTAATTTCAAAACTCAATTTCAGTTAAAAAAAGCAATATCACATGGACACTGCAATAAAATATATTGATAATGATAAGCTGTGAACATTTTGACTCAAAATAAATTAAAGGTGCTGTATGTAGGATTGACACCGAATGGTTGAACTAGGTATTGCAGTCCAAATTCAAAATATTGGAGAGGGGTTTTTTTCACCCGGCCCCTCCTCCTCAGACTTGAGGCACACACAGGTTGCCAGATTGACGACACCATCAGGAACGAGTGCACTTGACGATAAATGAAATGAAATATGCTGTTTCCCACCACCTGGAAACCCGGGGTGCCGAAATACAATTGGGTAAACTGGCAGTGGGCAGGTTTCACAAACCAAAACAGAGACCGACATTCTGGAACGCACATTTTCAAAGGAGAATAACTGACTGTAGCATTGTTTTTCAGATAAACAAAGTATGTTAACTTAGCATGTTTCTTAAATATCTGGAAACATATTATGGTATTTTTATGCTTTAGTAGTCAAAAAACTACATACAGCACCTTTAAATTAACAGCCTGTCACCCAGCAGAAATAAACGTGACAACAGACAGTCAGTGCATGTCACTAATAACTCGATGAATGATGTAGTTTTGTCTACTACACAAACTCAAACACGTGACGCTCAGTGTTTTTCAGCATGTCTCAACATAATAAAGAAGTACATGAACACATGAACTTCATCTGCAGAGCTGCTTTGAGAGTCACTTCACCAGCTCTTCACCGTTTCATTTAGGGATGCCAGCGATTAATCGACGCTCGATTAATTGTCGATAAGAGATGCAATCGATTAAAGCTATCGATGGTCGATTAAGCGGTTTAATTTGGGGTGCGTGCAACTCATGAGCAAAACACGTGCAAGCGGCTGCGAGTGACGGTGATGGGGCGGGATCTTTTGAGAAAATAATTCACCAACATACAAATTACGCTTTTAATGTCATCCAAAGTTTAAAAGTACATTAAAACAGAAACAACACAAAGTTCTTTTGTATTGAAATGTAATAAACAAGTCATGTTTAATTATAATTTCCTCAGATAAATGTTTCATATTGGGCTCTGCGGGACACGAGCAGGACGGACAGATATATATATATATAAAATTCATTCTTACAACCTGTTAATTAGTTCCTACGAATTATTTATTTGTGGCCACTGTCCATGTTTCATTAATTTGTTCCCTAGAAAACCCATGATTTAACTAAAATTAAGAGATTTAGAGTAAGAGATGCGAAAACAGTAATTAAAAGTGAACGAAAATAAAATAAACCTGCAAGGGTTACAGGATGAGACGGTGAGGATTTGGGAAAAGAAACAATAAATATTATTAAATTACTGGAAATTTGTGACCAACTGGCAAAACAGAACACAAAGCCACGTATGGCTTTAAATGTATCGAACAACATGAATGCAAAAGCGAAGCAACATTTGCCTGCAAAGGCCCATTTCTCTTATAAACAAAGCTTTGCATCTCACTTGAGTCCTTATAGTGTTTCATGTGAGCAAGTGTGTTTTGCCGCAGCACCACCGGTGGAAGCTGTTCTCTGACTGTGCAGTACAGGTCCACGTGCCGCAGTTAAGTTTGGAATAATTTTATTTTAAATGGCAATAATGTCAATTGCAAACATTGCGATTGTGTTTTAAAATACAACAATGAGCACCATGAAACCATTTAAAGAGGCTCGTTCAGCAGTCTCCGTGATGGGATATGAAACAGCCAACAAAGTAAAATGATCCCAAACGTAACTACGGCGTGCTCTTCATTTTATCAAATGATCATAATCACATCCATTCATTTTACAGTCCTGCTACTAGCCTTTATTTTGACTAAAGCCCCCTTTAATTCGGGTGAGGAAGTCTGCGTTTTGAGTGGCATTTGCACATCCTGTCATATATGCCAGTGCAATAGACGCATTTAGCAGTATTAAAGGTCCCCTGAAATGCTTAGAAACACACAGCGTTACTCTATGTGTTGACGTCATTTTAACTGAAACAGGAAGACAGGGAGGGATATCAAGCAGCCCCGCCCCTAAAATTCATTCTTACAACCTGTTAATTAGTTCCTACGAATTATTTATTTGTGGCCACTGTCCATGTTTCATTAATTTGTTCCCTAGAAAACCCATGATTTAACTAAAATTAAGAGATTTAGAGTAAGAGATGCGAAAACAGTAATTAAAAGTGAACGAAAATAAAATAAACCTGCAAGGGTTACAGGATGAGACGGTGAGGATTTGGGAAAAGAAACAATAAATATTATTAAATTACTGGAAATTTGTGACCAACTGGCAAAACAGAACACAAAGCCACGTATGGCTTTAAATGTATCGAACAACATGAATGCAAAAGCGATGCAACATTTGCCTGCAAAGGCCCATTTCTCTTATAAACAAAGCTTTGCATCTCACTTGAGTCCTTATAGTGTTTCATGTGAGCAAGTGTGTTTTGCCGCAGCACCACCGGTGGAAGCTGTTCTCTGACTGTGCAGTACAGGTCCACGTGCCGCAGTTAAGTTTGGAATAATTTTATTTTAAATGGCAATAATGTCAATTGCAAACATTGCGATTGTGTTTTAAAATACAACAATGAGCACCATGAAACCATTTAAAGAGGCTCGTTCAGCAGTCTCCGTGACGGGATATGAAACAGCCAACAAAGTAAAATGATCCCAAACGTAACTACGGCGTGCTCTTCATTTTATCAAATGATCATAATCACATCCATTCATTTTACAGTCCTGCTACTAGCCTTTATTTTGACTAAAGCCCCCTTTAATTCGGGTGAGGAAGTCTGCGTTTTGAGTGGCATTTGCACATCCTGTCATATATGCCAGTGCAATAGACGCATTTATCAGTATTAAAGGTCCCCTGAAATGCTTAGAAACACACAGCGTTACTCTATGTGTTGACGTCATTTTAACTGAAACAGGAAGACAGGGAGGGATATCAAGCAGCCCCGCCCCTTTTTAAAATAGCCAATAGCGTTAGTTTATATCACAGCTTGGGCTAGAGCCGTTCAGAGCCGTTGAGCTCCGTAAAGCCGCATTTGACAGGGTATGCCAGCCACAGTCTCATCCATATTGCTATAAAATATAGCATTCTGTGTAGAATTCAAATAGCTCCGATACATTTTGTGGTCTGCGCCGACTCGCGCATGTGATCCGCTCCGTGCTATCGTGTCTCTGGACCGGAGCAGAGTGTATGTGCGGTGCGGTGGTTAGCATGACAGCGCGAAACCAGACTTATTTTTTTCCTCAGTGGAAAGCATATTTACACCGTTTGAATCGTTCCATCCCCTATACTAATTCTGTGGACAATTTCAGCCACGGCTTAAAATATTTATAATATGGCTATTTTATAGTGTAGGGCGCAGGGGCTTCGGATTCTAGAGAGCATTTGATTGGACAGAAAGTTTGATGAGAAGCTGAAGTACGATGTGACGTAAAAAAAAAATCGTTGAGCCATTTTGGCGGAAGTGATGAACTGCAAAGCTTTGAATGCTTATATCTTCTAAATGCGAATTTTGTCACCGTTTTGGAGCACACTGCCTTATAGATAACTGTAAGACTAACATATTGATACTAACACCCAAAAAAACTTTAATTTAGATTTCATAGGAACTTTAAGGTTAACGATTAATCGATTAATTGATCGTTAATTTAAACGACGATCAATCATGGAAATAATATTTGAAAATTATACCTAGTTTCATTTGACAAAAACTGCCATCAAACCACTGAAACTCTTAAGGCTGATGATGCACGGGGCAATGGGAAAGTGCCCAAGCAACATTGCTCAAAAAAAGTTGCCCAGTGAAATTGCTCAAAAAGTTGTCCCGCGTATCATCAGCCTAAGATCTTCATGACAAACTGCCAAAATACAAGTTTGGTTTAACTTGATAAAAATAATGACGGAAATGTATTAGTACTGCATACCAAATTAACTTCTGAAAGTAATATAATTATTTTTTAAGTAATATACAACCAAGATGTTTCATCCATGTTTTAATTTATACAGTTCTGTTGTGCATAATCTTTTGACAAAAATATAATGCTTTGTGGTAAATTGCTATTAATGTTCAGTTGATTCGATTTTTAAAGATTGATGAAATAGTTAAAGTTTTCTTAATTTCAATATATACCCTTTTTTGATGTTAAATTTGTATTAAATCATAAAACACAGAACATAGAAAAATTTAAATGGATTTCATGTGGCCCTAAATTAAAAAGTAGTTACTCTGTGGAGTCTGATTGTGAATAAACAAATTAATATTACAATAAATATTGATATCATGATATGGGAAAAAAATATTGTTATTGTTTGTTATAGATGATATTTTTGGCCATATCTGCCAGTCCTACTCTGGAGATGATGCTAGATATACAAGCAGGCTGTCTCAGACAAAAAGCTGTTTCAAAGCTAAAATCTCCAATATGCAACTTCCTGTCCTTAATCAGTCCACCAGCTTGCTGTCATTGAGCTGCTACAATTAGAGCCCAATCACCTTGAAGTTCTTCATCACGTAACAAATAATCCTGCCACTAAAGATCAGAAATCCTCTTTATCGTGCTTATCTGTAACTTACAGAGCTTCCCCCTGAGCTGCCATCTGCATGCAGCTCAGTTTTCTGCTCCACGGCCATCTCTGCTTCCATAATCTTCTCCACGGGCATCTCTTCATTCGCTGCGGAGGTGGACTCCACCTCTCCCTCCCGCTCCTTGTTCCTCTGACGCTCCTCCTGAACAGCTGTATCGCACACAGGGAAATGAGGAAGAGGAACAAGACAGGGAAATAGAGATGAAGGATAGGGCGGAGGACAGATCAACATGATGGGAAAGGAAAAATGAACAGAGAGAAGGGGTAGTGAATAGGGAAAGTGGTAAAGATGAAAACAGGTGTAGAGAGACACAGAGATATACAGATACATGTAGTTCCTGGTTAGTTTTCAACACATTCATTCACACCCTGAAGTCCTCCAGCGACATTCCTTCTTCAATGACCCAGTAAAAGCTACAAAGATCCCTTATTACACACATTCAAAACAATATTCACATATGACTAATATTTTTTGCTGCATAATGCCATTTAAAGGGGACATATCATGCAGAATCAAATCCTCCTTGACCTCGGATAACAGTTTGAAAACACTGTACATTCAGTTCCTAGTAAAAAAAAAAAAAAGTACATATTGAACTACTCTACAAAAAGATTCTTGAACTTCTGCATGCCACATCAGATGCATGATTTACACAACAACATCTATTGGGTAATAGAAACTTGGTAGGCCAGTTATAGTTAAGTAATAAAGATAAAGCTGGATGGATACGATTACTTTAAAACACCAAAAAAAAAAAAAAAATCAAGAGCAAAGTTGTGTCATTTCTGGCGGTGTAGCACCTACAGCTCTGCATGTCCTTCTCAACATAAGAAACAAGTGGCTAAATTTTTTAGTTTTTTAGGAACATTTCAATCTGACTTTAAGCATCAATGTGAAAAATTATAACTAGTGTAACTATTCACTAGTTTTCTTGATGCATTGATTATAAAACCTGACAATGCATATGCATCGATTTTGAAACATGAATTTTTGAATCGTGAATGGCTGATTTCGGCCAGTAATCAATTTAAAACACTAAGAAACAAATGAATCGCGATTTAATCATCTGTCAATCAGATGCATTAAAGTTGTGTTTGTTACTATAGCAAACAGATATCGGGCACGGTTTCTTTTAGAATCATCATTCGTGGAAAAGTTGAATACTGTAGCATTTTATTTTATGAAAATAAGATAAAGCTCACATCAATCAAATTGTTAATCGAATTTAGTTGTGAATCGTCTTAAATCAAATCGTTCTTGAATCGAATCGATTCACTGTCTACCCAAAGACTCACAGTCCTAATGATAACATATCACTTTAAGAATATCGTTCCAAAGAACCATAAGTGTTTCCCATACATTGATTTATTTGTGGCGGCCCGCCACAATATCAAAACTGCCGTTGACTTCGTTGAATAAACATAAGCACTGCACGTTTCAAAATCAAAATGCGGTGCGGGTGTTTTTATATTACTGTATTTCTGAAGGAAACCGACTGATGTCATTTTCATTTCATCTTGCATGCAATTCCTGATAAAAGCAGCGTTTGTGAGCAGTGCACAATAGGAAATAGGAAACCTATTTCTTCTGCTCTAAAAGCGCCTCCTGCTGGCAGCAAATGTAACTGCATATTTATATATGTGGGGGGGGTTGCCGCCACAAATAGAGTGCAAGTCTGTGGGAAACACTGAACCATATTAAATGGTTAATAAACGATCTTAAAAATTAAAATGCAAAAAGTGATCAAGGAAAAAATAGATATGGCCCCTTTAATAGCTGTGACTAATATCCTACAGAGTCATTCTTTCACCATTCCCACATTCTCTTACACATACACAGACAACCACCCCTCCTTCCCTCCCTGCTTTCTCCTTACATCGTTGTCGTTCATCTTGGACCACTACAGAAGGAGAGGGAGGAAGAGAGAAAACGAGAGGAAACAAAAGAGGGAGAGAGGGGGACAGGTGTTAGTGGTGACAACAGCCCTCCCTCCCCCTCTGCTCTCCTCTCTGGTTTGTGCAGTGAGGTCTATGTAATGTCAACCCACAATGCCCTCTTTACATTCACAGTCAACAACAACCTTGAAATTTACATGTCTCTGCAATACTTACTCATTCTTGTCTATTTGTCTGCCATAATTCTAGAAAGCACTTGCCCGGTTTTGCTCTCCTTAGTGATAGACAGATATATTGGGCAGGCAAATTAATTGTAAAATAGGCTACATAATACAAATTTAAAATAAAAAAATATATTAAAAAAAGATATACATCTTGTATGGCCTGGGGGTGAGTAAATAATCAGGAAATCTTCTGAAATTTCTGGGTGAAACTTTTAGTGCATTATCGTCAATCACCCACTCTGCTCTCTATATATAAAGCATCAGTTTGTGTTTCTTGCTCCACTTAAATGCATAACAGCACAGCACTGAACTTTCTACTGCATTAACTTCACATAAATAAAAATATACACTGTGATCAATATAGCAAATCCAATATGGGACAATCACAACTTCTTACCTCTAGTGTAAGGAGTTTCTCATCTGGGGTTTGTGGTATGTGTATGTGTTAGGTGGGACAGCGAGTTCTTGTTCTTACCCTCTCTCTTCATCCCCATGGCCAGGCACTTCTGGTAGCGGCAGTACTGGCAGCGGTTCCTCTGGCGTTTGTCCACCAGACAGTCCTTATTGTCTCTGCATGTGTAGCTCAGGTCCTTCCTCACAGTGCGCTTGAAAAAGCCCTTGCAGCCCTCACAGCTGTACACGCCGTAGTGCTTGCCTGAAGAAAGGAGACATGAGGCAAATTTATGGAGGTGGAAGACTTTAGTCAACAGATAGGTGAGCCTAATTTTGACAGTTTCATAATATTGTTGTTGCATAAGTGTTACATAATGAAAAGCTGTTTTTGTTCATTTGTCATGATTTTTTGCAGCTATCAAGTTCCACATAAAAACAAGAAAGAGCTAAAGTACCATGACACATGATTATTTACTACTTGTACACAACAGTTCAAAAGTTTGAGGTCATTAAGTTTTTAATACTTTTAAATAAAAAATAATGTTTATTCAGCAAGGATACATTAGATTAAAGTGAAATAAGACATTTATAATGTTACAAAAAAATTCTATTTCAAATATATGCTGTTCTTTAGGGCTGTCGCGATAACCTCAATATCGCAATACTGCGCTATTGACGAGCAAACTGCAGCAACAGCGATTCTTGCGGGTTTTCTTTTTTTGTAAGGTTATGCCCTTCTTGTTTTACACCATGCATGTGGACTGAATATTAAACAAGTTAGTAATGATAACAATGTGTACCATATTTGTGAAAATAGGTTATCATGTCCAAGGAAAGCGAAATCTCTGTCTTAGCATCGACGCATAGCTGGTCAGCTGAGCCTTCTAAAGTGGCGCTCAAAGTTAAAATGATTTCAACAGCGCGTTTCATTACGTCTCTTTGAATGAATGAATCAGCGTTTTTGAACTTGTAGTTGAATGACAGTCCCTTTCCACCACCTTGTACTTAATTTAAAACACTGTAACTGCACTGACTGACAGCCCATCTAGAAGGCGCGAAGGTGGAAATATCAATAGAAAGTCTCTTGTCCAGTCAGATTAGAAGATCAGATTATAACTAGGCTAACTGTTATACATATAGGCTAATGATAGCCTAACGATCTTATTGTCAGGTTTATGTTCTGTTATGTGGACCGTTATTTTGTCATTCTCTTCGGTTTACTTCAATTCCTGTTTCAACGCTATTTGGTTTCGGTTTCATTGTCTTCTGAATATGACCTCGTTAGTTATATCGTAACACATACACACAAATAATATATGTATGGCGATAATATCGCATACCACCACTCAAAATTACCGCAAGGGAAATTCCCTCACCGCGACAGCCCTACTGTTCTTTTGAACTTTGTTCAATTGTTTCCACAAAATTATTAAGCTCTCAGAAGATTATGAATGATCAAATGACACAGAAGACTGACATAATGACTGCTGAAAATTTAGGTTTGCCTCAGAAATAAATTACAATTTAATGACAAGGAATAAATAACTATTTAAAACATATTAAAATAAAATAACTCACAACATTGTTTTTTATGTATTTCTGAACAAAAAATATAGTCTTGGTGATAAAACCATCTGTCAAAACATAAAAAAAATTGTACTGACCCCAGACTTTCAAATGGTACTTTATATATAGATTTTTTTATTATACTAATAGGACATTTTTTTTGTGATATATAACGTCAAAATAAAGCTTCTTATTACACATACTGACAATTGATAACACTGCATCATTTAAATTAAATATTTTACACTTCTATAATATTTAACCAATAGCAATACACATTTAAATGGAACGAGACAAAAGAAACTAGTTTCAGTGTTTCCTTCAGACGGGTTAGGGTTAGTGTTTATCAGTGAGGTACCAGAAGAGCGATCTCCACAGATGGCACACAAGCGTTTCTGAGAGAGCATGGGCCCTGGGCTGTGGGCGGACATCGGCTTCAAACCGAAGGGCGGTTTGACGTCATCAGAGCTGCTGACGGCGTGCAGACCTGACATGGACACGGTGGAGTTGATCTGAGATGGGCAATGAGTGGAGAGATGGAGAGAGATAAAGTGACAGAAAACACAAGAAATATTTTAGTTGAATAAAATGAAGAATTCCTCATTTTGACAAACAAATATCAAATAACTAGATTACAGAAAAATACATGTTAATTTCTTATGATCAGTAACACATGCCTGATTAGCTCTCAATTTAAGCACAGGTAAATGATCAATCCATAAGAATCTGATTTTGATTGTATTTCGATGAACACAACCCCCTCAACAGACTTTAATCATTCAAAGACAACTACATTTCAACATTTTTGAGCAACAGCACAGGGAGGAAGACATATGCATGAGAGAAGCTAATAGAAAGTGAAGAGAGTCAGAAAGTGAGAGAGGGTACAAGGTCTCACCTCTGGGTTTCTGCGAAACATGTTAATCTGTGAAGCACAAATGCAGTCATGAGGAGGAGCACAAAAAAAAATGTGGCGCGAGGGAGGTGGTGCTAAAAGCTTTTTTGTCTTGGTAAAACTCAAATTTAGACTAGGAAAAAAAAAAAAAAGGTTCAGATCCACAGAGAAAGAGACTTTGGAAATTAAGGTCAAAATATCAGATGGTCTGTTATACATTAACAGTTTTAGAGGGAAACTCAAATTATCTCGGTGAATAAACAGTGAATTAAAAAAATTCCCTCTAGTTTAAAATTTTCAGGTCTAATTACATATTGCTAGTCATTGCATTCTACTGCTCAAAAGATGTTTTAATGCTTTTTAAAGATGTCTCTTTTGCTCACCAAGGCTGCACTTAATTATATATAATGTGAAAAAAAGTATTTTTACACACACATACATATATATATATATTTACACTTACATATATTAGGGGTGTAATGGTACACGTATTTGTACCGAAAATGTTCTATATGGGTCTTTCGGTTCGGTGCACGTGTACGTGTACCGAACAAATCGTCCCATTTTTTCAGGAAATTCAGACAATAAATGCTATTTTGACGCTCTTTGATGTGGCATGACAGATCACTGTATACTAACACCTCCGTTCTAATAACGGCAGCGCAAGCGAGTGTGATCACCCCTTCTTCTTTAGTATTCTACTCTGTAAATGATTGTATTTCAACAACAAATAGAAATTGTATAAGTTAATCAATTTAAAAATAAAAGTTAATTTAAAAACAATGTACGTTTACATAATTTTTAAAAAATCTGATAGTTGATTATTACAGCTAAATATAAATAGTAGCCTAATTGAATTTAAGTTTGGGCTCTGTTGTTGATTGTAACCTTATAGTAATGTAAAAGGGCTCCCTATAGTTTAGAGCAGAAGCTGAGGTAGATTTTTTACATTTTAATTATAATTGCATTTATTTCAAGAAAGAGCAATTTGTTCAGTAAAGGGGTTACTTAAAGGGTGGGCTAGAGTGAGTTGAGGCGGCGGGGACGAGAACGGCGCGCCCGGCGGATCCGACGAATGAACGGCAACCACATGTGACGACCCTGGGCTGGACTCCGCTTTGTCCAAATTGTCACATTTTATTATTGGGTGTTTCAACACATACATGTTTTACCAACTATGAAGATCAACACTTTTAGAGTTTCATCCTCCTATCTAATGTGAGCAAAAGTATTGTGACCGTTGCCTCACAGGTCTTTCTGAGTGATCAGCTGTGTCCTGTTGCATTAATTCTCAGATTAAAAGCAGGGAATGTGTCATATCAGTTATATCCATTGCTTCTGCATTCTGAGTCTTGCATGTGATGACGAAACACACAAACCAGGATGAAGACGAGGGATCTGACTTTGAGAGAAAAGCAAGCAATTTGGATGCTAAAAGAAAAAAAGTCGTCAATTAGAGCTATAGCAAAGACAAAGGCCATGGAGAAATCAAGAGTTTGGAAACCACCTCCAGAAAGCTGGGGTGATGCTCTGACAATCTACTGTCCGCAGGAGACTTTGACACAGAATTACAGAGGCTACAGCAAGATGCAAACCTCTGATCAGCACCAAAACCAGAAAGGCAAGATCAGAGTTTGCAAAAAGAGCACAAAGGTGAGCCAGTAGAGTTTTGGAAAAGAGTTTTCTGGACAGATGAAATAAAGATTGACCTTATTCTAAGTGATGGGAAAGCAAAAGTGTGGAGAAAAAGGGAACTGCAAATGATCCATATCAGTTATATCCATTGCTTCTGCATTCTGAGTCTTGCATTTGATGACGAAACACACAAACCAGGATGAAGACGAGGGATCTGACTTTGAGAGAAAAGCAAGCAATTTGGATGCTAAAAGAAAAAAAGTCGTCAATTAGAGCTATAGCAAAGACAAAGGCCATGGAGAAATCAAGAGTTTGGAAACCACCTCCAGAAAGCTGGGGTGATGCTCTGACAATCTACTGTCCGCAGGAGACTTTGACACAGAATTACAGAGGCTACAGCAAGATGCAAACCTCTGATCAGCACCAAAACCAGAAAGGCAAGATCAGAGTTTGCAAAAAGAGCACAAAGGTGAGCCAGTAGAGTTTTGGAAAAGAGTTTTCTGGACAGATGAAATAAAGATTGACCTTATTCTAAGTGATGGGAAAGCAAAAGTGTGGAGAAAAAGGGAACTGCAAATGATCCTAAGCATCATTTGCAACTGCATCTGGGATCTGCAATGAAATATTCGCTTTTAATCTTTTACATCTGCCTTAAGTTCAACTGTCCCAATACTTATGCTCACATCAAATAGTGGGATGAACTCTAAAAGTGCTGGCCGTTTTTTTTTGTTTAGTTAAAACACGTATGTGTTGAAACAGCTAATAATAAAATGTGACATTCTGTAGTTTTTTGTCATATTAATTTTTTAATCATATTTGCAATTGTCGACTCCACAGTAAGCATATATATATATATATAGGTGCATCTCAATAAATTAGAATGTCGTGGAAAAGTTCATTTATTTCAGTAATTCAACTCAAATTGTGAAACTCATGTATTAAATAAATTCAATGCACACAGACTGAAGTAGTTCAAGTCTTTGGTTCTTTTAATTGTGATGATTTTGGCTCACATTTAACAAAAACCCACCAATCTCAACAAATTAGAATACTTCATTAGACCAATAAGAAAAACATTTTTAGTCAATTGTTGGCCTTCTGGAAAGTATGTTCATTTACTTACATTTTAAAATATATCCAAATAGAAAACTTACTTTAAATTGTAATACATTTTTACAATATTACTCTTTTGACTGTATTTTTGATCCCTTGGTAAGCAAGAGACTTCTTTCAAAAACATTAAAAAAATCTCACAGTCCCCTAACATTTTAATGGCATTGTACATGATATCAAACATACTAGCTTACATTACAAGTGTGAAACTGCTCTTTTGACCCATCTAAACTACTTGCATAAAACAAATAACATGTTCACATCTGTATGAACACTCATTTCGAGATTGTACCTCACACTTATTTATCTGAATAACAATGTTAAGTGTTCATAATATATAAATATATATATTTAATGTATTATCTGATTTCTGAGGTTCTGGTACTGCCGTTAGCAAAGCGGATCTTGTCCAGATTGGTGACAGATGCTTCTCCTGCATTGGGTTTCAGAGGGGAAAGCTTCTCTCCTATAAGAAAGAAAGAAAGATAACTAAACAAATCACAACTGAATGTAAAAAAACATGTAAATTATGTAAATAATTACTAAATTACTACTTTTCAGGATTGTGTCTTGTCTAAAAAAAAGGCAATTATCAGGCATTCCTTCACCATTTCAGGGTGTATTGAAGCTACCTGGAGTGTTGGTCTCAGCAATGGTCAGGGCACAAGCGCGTCCAAACACAACCAGATCCAGCAGTGAGTTGGCGCCCAGACGATTTGCACCATGCACCGATGCACAGCCGGCCTCACCGCAGGCGTACAGGCCTGGCACCACCATATCCTCTCCATTCTCATGGGTGATGGCCTGCCACGATAAGAGAGAGGATATTAGCATTATATTCTGATTCATGATGAGGGTCACTTCCAAACAGAGATTTTAACATTTGTGTTCATAATGCATTCAAAATCTGTATACTATTTTCACAATTTGGGTCCTTTTGGATGCAAAGAATCTGTATTTTATAAAACAGCCACGGCTTAATAATTTTTTAATACAGTTAAACAAAAAATTAATTCAATTCTGTTGAATTTATAACTCCCGATTGCTCAAAAAAGTCCCAATTTACCAAACCTACATATTTATTTCTAACAAAATAACACCAAAACAACAAAAATATTACTCCGATATGAACTCGCATAAACTTTCATTTTCAGAAGAAAAGGTAATTAATTTTTATGCTGCACTGCAATGGTTCATGAACAGGCCTTTATCAACAATTTTGTTCTAAAAGTGTGTGAGAAATGGGGAAAAGGCTAAATATATTTACACGTTTTTTACACTAATAAAGTCATAAATGTAATTTTAAAAAAAGCATTTGACACTTGACATTCCATACATGTCTTAAAAAAAAAAAAAAAAAAAAAAAAAAAATGGAAAAAAAAAAAAAATTTAAATAGTATATTATACCTTCCTTCCCTGATCTCAATGGTCATGGACCGTGAGACCACGTCCCTAGAGGCCAAATCTTTGGCATTGGGTGCATAACGTTCCATGAACCTCTCGCCTTCACTGTTGATCAAGATTCCTCCCTCTCCACGGCAGCCCTCTGTGATTAGGCATCCGGCTCCATAGATTCCTAAGGGAAATTACGTCAGAGGTCACGTCATTTAAAACCAACCATAGGGTGGCTGAGGACATCAGTGGAAGAGCTGTAAATGCATGTAAACACGGCAAAAAAACAGTATAACCACAGCTGTAATATATAACAGTTAGATATTGCCAAAGCCAAAGAGATGTTATGGAGTCAAGGTACTCTAAAGGACTTGTCCAGGCTTATGAAAGAACGCAGCTCACCTGTGGGGTGGAACTGCACAAATTCGAGATCCTGGCAGGGCAGTCCAGCACGGGTCACCATGGCATTACCGTCTCCTGTGCTGGTGTGGGCTGACGTACAGCTGAAGAATGTGCGGCCATAACCTCTGCAGAGAAAACACAATAAATATCTTTATTTGTATGTTGTTGTAATAATACTATGTACATCCTCATTGTAAAACCAATCTTTACAAAAAAATAAATACATTCTACTTACAAATATTTATTTTTTTAAATAAAAGTGACAGCTTTTGCCATTAAAAACAAAACAATTATAACGAAGTAAACTAATTCAAACAATCAAACTTATAAAGATGTAATTAAAAACTAGTGTTAGAAAAAAGCTGTTTTTATCCTTTTGTTTTAAAGAATTCGTCTGAATACTAGTGTTATTGTTAACTATTGTTAAAAATATTCAGTTTATAATCATAATGAAATAAAGCTGAAATATAAATATTAGATGAATAACTTAAATGAGAAAAAAATAGAAACTCTTTGAATTAAAACGTGAAGTGCTAAAATTACAAACATATTTACTGAAATAAAATAAATTAATATATAATAAAAATAAAAAAACTATTAAAAAGCACATAACAAATTTACTAAAACTAAAATAAAATAAAAGCTAATTTAAAATATTAATAAACTGTTCCAAACCGGCATGAATTTCTTTCTTCTGGTGAACACTAAATATAAAAAGATATTTTGAAGAATGTGGGTAACCAAATAGTTGCTGGTCCCTTACTATGGAAATCAATGGGTACCGGCAATTGTTTGGTTACCCACATTCTTCAAAATATTTTAGTTTGTGTTCAGCAGAAGACAGAAACTCATACAGGTTTGGAACAACTTGAAATAGAGTAAATGATGACAAAATTTTCATTTTAAAATCCCTTTAAGACATAAAACCTGATGATTTCCCTTACCCAGTGGCAATGACTGTGTTCTTGGCTCTGAATCGGTGGATGGATCCGTCCTCCATGCACAGTGCGATGACTCCCTTACACTCGCCATCCTCCATCAGCAGATCCAGGGCAAAATACTCCACAAAGTAACTAGTGTCATACCTTAGAGACTAGACACCAACAGATACATTTCAGACAGGGCTCAACAGCTGCTCCCGTTCAAGCTGAATTGTTTTGTAACTTCTACTAGGATTTTATATCTTGATTTCTTGAAGTTTTAAGGAACATCAGTCCAGATCACATCCACAGACTCTCACTCACCCGTCCATAGAGTGTGTGAAGAAGAGAGTGACCCGTCCTGTCTGCCACACAACAGCATCTGTGAGCCTGACCTCCTTTACCGAACTTCAGACTCTGGCCTCCGAAGGCACGCTGATAGATCCTCCCTTCCTCGGTACGGCTGAACGGCATACCAAAGTTCTCCAGCTGAAAAGACACAAAAACATCTCACGAGATGGAAATCACAATCTAAATCAATTCTATTGAAGCTAAGCAAAGCTTGAGTTAGAGACAAGGAAACAGAATTTTCTTATCCAATCTCCTGACAGTAAAGGTGACAGCAGCAGCGTCTCTCACCTCCACCACTGCAGCAGGTGCCTGCTCTGTCATGTAGTGAATGGCATCCTGGTCTTATATTCTGTTTATTAAAATAAATATAAAATAAAAAATACATCTGCAATAAAAAAAAAGTCTAGCAGTCTTTTAGTAAAAATGACGAATTCCATAAAAAAAAACACTGCAACACAACATAGTATTCACGCATTATTCTAATGTATTTTGGTCTTTTCTGGTGACATAACAGTGAGACATCTCCTTTAAAGTTAGTTTCATTGTAATAGATAGATAAAATATAGGTTGGAGACTGTTTGAGGATATATGAGAGCCGCAATCGAATAAAAATCATGCATCCAGACACTTAAACAGTGATAATATCTAACATAATGGCATGAGCATTCAACACTACATGGCTAATGCTAATGTTACCTGCTTGACCTTCAATGGATTCCTGTTAACAAACTATCTAATCTTTACTTCTATGAAATATCACAATGCATTTGGTGAAAAACCCTCAAGCCTCACTGCTAAAAGACAAGCTCCACTAATAAAACAGCATCACATAAACGTACACCGACTCATATAACAGAGGTACTGATACTACGTAACAGTGTTACTTAACCCAGCAGATGATGGTTACAAAACCAACACATATCAGACTACAATAGTGCATAGCGACATCTGAGTATAAAGCATTCAAACTTTCCGCCTGCACTAGACACATGCCATTAAAAAAACAAAGCATGCAAAGTATAAGAGAGGACTTACAGCTTTAGATGATACAATCTTTCTCCCGAGGACACGGGAGGCAGCGCAGACTGCAGCCATGTTGCTCGATTCTGACTGAAACACATTGAGAAGTCCGACTCATTTCCACCAATCGGTTCTTTTGAACAGTTAAATGATTCAGTGATTCTTTCCCCTGGCTTCATTGACTCGATTAGGCTTTAGTGTAAAGTTGTTTATTTTAATTGCATACGTAGGTCAGTTTGTTGTAGCAGTAATTTAGCTCATAAAAATAAATGTAACTTTATAGTTGCATAAAAAATGTGTAATTAATTTACAGTTACTTATGTAAATGTTAATGATTACAAAGGGGGTTACATCTGATTTTTTTTCACACACACTGATTTAATTGATTTCTTTCCCAAATTGTATTGACTGCTCTAAAATATGAGACACCAACATTTCAGGAGTTTAGGAGACTGACTATGCTTATTCGATAACTGTTTTGTTTCCTATTTGGGTTTATGTATATGCTTTATTTTTTAAGATTAACTGTTTTTTTCCCAAGGCATTGTTAGATACCAGTGTTTCCTGTCATATCTGTGCAAAGATTTGCTTTCGAAAACAGTATCACAGCTATTAAACTATTTCTTGTTATGATTTTAGATCTGCATTTAACCTCAGAACGATCTCAAAGTAAAACGAGATGCTATAAAGTCTGATTTTGCGGCTGCTGTGCTTACAATTCTATTATTACAATTTTAATTCAAGGATTTTGAAAATCTGACCGTCAGTGTTGAGTAGGCCTACTACTGTAAGGTTAACCCTGCCTGCTTTAAATGTTTGAAAATTATTAATAGTTAAAAACATTAGAAATTTAGAAAAGTAATAAAATGTAATCAGTTACATTACAGTAATTTAAAGTAACTGAAATAGTTATTACATTTTAAATAGAGTAACATGTAATCTGAAGGCTAATCTATTACATTTCCAAAGTAACTCTCCCAACACTGGTCAATTAAGTTTTCGCACCATCATCCAAATATTCGGTTCAACTCTCACTTTCGTTCTAAGCTTATTTACTTCTAAGCTCATGGTCAGTTTACTTTATAACCGCTCAGAAATCGGGTTTCCATCAACTGCGTTAAGTTATACCAAGTAGGCTACACACAATCAATTCTCATTTAAAATATGTTAATAAATTCTTACAATATAGTGAAAAGTAAAACAAATAGGACATACATTTATTTCTCTTGATCAATTAATTAATGATAATTATAAACACATAATTGTAGTTCTTTTTTTAAACAAAAGATTTGCCACTTAATTTAACATGTAATTACATAAAATATTATCGAAACCCAAATGGTTCAGAATTCGCCTGCTAAGATTGCTGTGAAAGTGTGAAAAGTGCGAATCACGAATCGCTAGGACCGTACCAATGATTGTCCACAGTGGGGGGATTTGTCGGTTCACGTTGTGCAAAAAAACAAAAAAAAGTTATTTACTGTGATTACTGTTGTGGATTTTTCTTGGGTGCGGCCAATGAAGTGGAGGAGCAGAGTTCCAGATGTCAAAATAAGACTTTATTTAACAAAGAAATAAAGCCGGGAAGACAGTCACATCATTCCAAATCATTCCAAAGTCTTTGTTTGTCAACTCATATTATATACCCCTTGTTCTCTCCAAATTTGGTCATTTTCTGTTTTTTCTTTGTTCCGGTTACTTTTTATTGGTTATAGATACCTGATTTGCCACAATTGTTTCCAACTCTTTTGGCCTTGTTTTCTAATTGGTTGGTAGTGTGGTCATACTAGATGTGTGTCAAATTTATCTACTTGCTTTTGTTTTGCCACCTTCCATTGGTTGGTAATGTGGTCATACGAGATGTGTGCGTCACATCCATCCACCTGTTCCTGATAATATTAGATTATTTCATGTTTACGTCTACTGTCTACTGAAAGTTTTCATATGCAAAATATACTGCTGCTAACCCTTGTTGGTAACATGGTGGGTAACCTTCAGCTACATTGTCTAATTTTGTGCTACAATAAGCAATTGGTTGTTTTTTCCTTCCGATCCAAGTTTCCTGCATCAAAACTACAGATGCATAACCATCCTTTCTGTTTGCAATGTACAAATTAAATGGTCTGTCATATGTGTGCATGGTCAAGGCAGGAGCGGTCTGTAGTTCTTTTTTCAATGATT